ATGGACTATGCCAGCTGATTTCTTCAGATGCTCCTCAGCCTTGATTTTATTGTTGGCGTCTCAACATGGACTCTAAAGTTGTTACTAAAAGTGCCAGCAGCTGCTGCCAGCATGTATGGGGAAGGAATCTAATATATTAAAAGAAAAATCTTCTATGGTTTCAAACAGGGTAAAAAAATGCATGTTTTCTTACCCCCATAACCAGCTTTGCCTGTACAATGAAATTACTTTGGATTTGTTATTGGGTAACTATATTCTTCCTATGTTTGTTAATTTCAGAATTATCTGCATCATTTTGTTCTTTACCCAATTCATTTTAATTATTTCTAACCCTGCGGATATTACCCGTCTCATCTGTTGCAGCCCCACAGAATCCAAATCTCTTGCCCATGTGTTTTTTGGGGGAAACTGTTCCCTATTTGGGTGTCAAGGTAGAGGGAGCAGGAAGGAGAACATAGCTCTCTATGCTTCACCATGAGTTGTGCCTTCTTCCCCCAGGTCAAGAAAAGAACACCTGGCCATCAGCCTCTTTTTGGCCTATACAATTTAATAAAAAGAGAGGAAAAAAAAAATCACAACTGAAATACACTGTAGCCAGTGCTGCAGTTTGGCTTTCCTGTGTAAGGTCTCACCTAACTTCCTGCCTAATTAGACTGAGAAGTTTCCAGTCATCCTGAGGTTGAAAGAGGGCATTCTTGTTCTCCCAGTTCATCTAGGCTGCTATGAAATCAGAGATATATCGGTCCTGTGCACAAAAGAGAACAAATCAAGAAGAAATATGACTGTATATTAGGAATTTAGGTTGTCAATTTAAAAATGGGGAATCTAAAGTTCCCAGCTCTTGCTTTTGTTTTGTATTTGAGGGCACCATACATAAAACAAGATATTTAAGAGTCACCAATCCATCTCCTGAGGAACACCTAAATCTAAGGACAGGTGGCAGTTAAAGGAAGAATAGTATGTCTAAGCATTTTGTGTATTTGAGTCATAATATTCTTTAATTCTCCAACCACACGTTATTCTTCTTTCAAGCAAGGACTAGCACTAGAACTATTCCATCACATAATCAGGTTACTCTTGATGACCTTCCAAAGCCAAATCCCAATGTCACTGTTAGCATAATCTCCTAGTGATTCTGTGCCAGAGCACGTGAAGGCAATACAGTACTTTCAAAAACAATCTATTTATTTTCTGGTAGAAGTTGGGTCCCATCCATTCCTCCTTTTTTTCTATCTAGCACATACAGACCACTGGTTTACTATAAGTTTACATTCACCATAATGCACCTCCATCTCCCCCCTTTCAATTGATTTTTATTGAGAAGACAAACACTTCAGGACAGCACAGAAAGTAGGAAAATTTGTCAGCAATGTGTCTAGTAGATTTTAGCCACTATAAAATTAACTGAAATAAAAGACAAAGTAAAGAAGCATTTTAGTAATCCGTAAGTTGGTTTTTTTCCTCCTCTTGTCCATTCCCTACGACGCTCCCTTGCCCTTCTCTGTCACTTGCTATATTTTCATAGTGTTAGGGAAGAGGGGAGTTTTCTCTCTGAAATATTTAGTTTTGTGCCTTAGCTTTAAGGGCACTGGTAGCCCAGCCACGTATGGGCTATTCAGTAAACAGACTTTCAGAGCCAAATCAGAAATTCACTATGGCAAAGGCTTTCCAAACAGTCTATGGAAAGGCTATGCTGCACTAAATACTCAAGTCACCTAAGAAAACTAAAGAGAGGAAGGTGGGTCTAAATTAAGCAGAACTGGAAATCCAGAGATCTCCGTTCTCTTCCTTACTCTGCTGGAGACAGTCTTTGTAATCTGGGACAGAGCATTCCAGCATCAGCAGGTATTTCTGTATCTGCCTCTAAGAAGATAAAAGAGGGGATGGGGAATATAATTTTGTTAGCATTTATAAGGCAAACTATGTGGAAAGCATTGTTGCACAACTATGTAATTTACCTTTATTCCACACAGTAGATTCCAATGAAACAAAGTGTGAAGAGCAGAATATGGGACCAGCTTGTAAAGAAAGAACTCTCCTAAAGTGGTGACTATAGGGTAAAAGGAGAGAAACCTCTGTAGATTGTTCCCAGCAACTCCCTGTCCTCAGGGTCACTGTTATTAAGCAAAGAGTCTCAACCTCTTCAGGCATAATAAGGAAAGGCACTCCCTGCTTGCCAGTTTCATTTTGGAGGAGGTTTGTATTACCTATATACCCTTCTCTTAGTCATGAGAGCCTTGTTGATTTAACACTCTAATAAGTGCCATGGAGAAGGAAAAACAGCTGGCAGGTTTTTGCTCTACATACAAGTTGAAAAGCCATTCATGAAGTGGCATTCATCTCCTTACCCATGTTATTCACACCTTTAGGTGTGAACATGAGCCACTCACATATACAGCATCACTCATTAAAAAACTTTTGCCCTGGAATGCATATTTTAATTCCTTTTTGCATCACAGGAACTCACAGACTACAGCATCGCAGTAGTACTAAAACAAAATGACAAAACCATGCAACTGTCCAGTATGAAAAATAAGACATCCTTTGTAACACCAGCAAACCTAGTGCTTTCTATTGTCAAAAGAGCAGAAAGCATCTCTGGTTTTACACTGATATATCAGGTTGGACTCAACAGTAGTGGAAGTGTTGTACAAAAAAAAAAAGATTATTGTAAACTATGTAGAGCAGTCTTTGTTAGCTCTAAAGAACAAAAAAAACCACTATGCAGAATAAACAGGGACAGGAAAAAAAAAAAGAAGTAAAAACAACAGTGCAAATTAGTCTGGTAAATAAAAGCTCTGCAAAGAAACCTACTTGAGCACAGCCAGCTTTACAACAACACAACCCAGAATCCCAACATGAAGAACTGATCTGTAATGTACCTTTTAGGTAAAAGAAATGTTATTCTCTCGTTCAGCAGATCAGAAATGCCTACCATCCTCTCAGCAGGAGAGTGAAGCCCAGAATGCCAAGAACCCAGTCCTGGTTCAGAGCTGGTGGAGACACCATCTCTGCATCAGTGGTCCATGACAGCCACCTCAGTTTCTCATGCACAGTAAGAATCCACATCATAGAGGTGAGATTTTCCAGCTTGCCCACTGAGACACTAAAGACTGTGGAATTAAAATGTTTTTGCAAGTCATAGAAAACTTGCTGTAACCCTTAAGGTTGTCTTTCATGCAGAATTTCATTCTGCACTCAGTTTCCTAAATGACACTCCGCTTGCCTCGTGTGCAATAATAAAATGGAAGGTAGATTTTCCTAAATGTCATATTCATGAAGAAAACCCCTTTTCATAATCAGAGTGAATTCCACAGAGAAATAAAAACTACTTTTTACTCCCCTGAAAATGAATTGTGAAGAGCAAAAAAAAAAAAAAAAAAAAAAAAAAAAAATTCCTTTTAGCTACCCCCCTTCTCCAACAAATTCTTCCAGAGAGAGTAGCTTTTTGCATTGTTCTCTCCAGGACACACTCTTAAGGACTTAGATTTGGAAGGGGGGTGTATTTGTGGAATTATATCCAGTTTGATTTGACTCAGATTCTGTTTTCCTATATATTAAGAATACAGACCACGATTCAGAGCACATTACAGCAAACAACAGGCTTTGAACCAGATCAAAGCTGTGTTAAAGCCCACCACTGATCCTTCTTAATTTTCTCCATTTTACTTTTGCTTTGGTTTTTCTTAGTCTTCTCATAGGGATTTTTTTTTCCCCTCTTCTTCTTGGTTGCAGGAAGAGATGCAACTTCCAAACCCACCTCTCTGCTGACAATTTTGCTCATAAGACATTAGGAAAAGGAGAAGCACTTGCCAAAATATATAACAACATTCAGGATAACTATCATATGTTAGAAAACAAGGTTTACTAGATCTCATGGGAAACAATATTGTCTTCTAGGAAGAAAAATGAGATATTAAAAAATTGAATTCAGAAGTCAAAAAGCACTTGACAGAAAAAAAATCCTTTTTTTTTTCCATTTGCAGAAATATTTCATTAAAAATTAGTCTTTAAAGACTACTTGATTTCTCATTTCAAGTTTATTTTAAGAAAAAAATTCAAGTGAAAAATAACAAAAAGGATGTTTACAAAACTTCTGAGTTTTTCTTGCTCAAAAATGTTAGTAGACGAATTCATCAAAACCAATTCTTTTCCTAAATTTAGATTTGGCTTTGATAAACTGGAATTTTATAACAAATTAGGCAAACATCTCCTGACTTCTGATAGACAACCATCAACTTTCTCTACATTTTAGTTGTCCTTTCTGAAAGCACAAAAGTGCCCGAGGTGCCTTGTATCACAGAAAACAAATGGGTGACTTTGAAAACAGCATCATATGCCATAATAAAAAGAAAAATCATTGAATGCATTTTGTTTTAAAGTTTCATTGAACACATATAACTGGCCAGGCTGAATGATCTATGATATGCTGACAGACAGAGCCAGACACAGACCTACAGAAGAAAGGGGAAGCAGGAAGGAGCTGAACAGAAACATTTAGTCAGCTCTGTCAAAATGTTGGCATTTCTATTAAGAAAGAATTACAGTATCCAAGTCTGTCTGTTATTCTGTATCCTACCAAAAGCCCATGTTTTTCTGAAAAATTATTATTAGCATTTGAGCTACTTTCACTGTATTTTGCAAGGCTGTCCAGTCAAAAGTGATGCTGACATTAAAAGCCTATTTTGATTTTGAGTGTAAAATAATTGTTTGACTTACAAGCAGAACTTCATAAATCATTTCACTAGTAATACTCTTTCCCTACAGCTGTTATTTCCGCACAATAACTTAGCTTCTGTTTTATTTAACGCCAATATTCTGAAATGCAGGCATTCCTGAAACTCATGTGTACCATAACACCTTGCGCAGAAAGATTTTTTTTCAGCCTACAAATGACATTTAAAGTCTATAAAATAGATAGCGTTTATACTACAGAAAATTATTCATAGTGGAAAGACTTGTTATTGAAGTGTAGCTCAGTCCCTTAAGGACAGACATACCTCAGAATTGTTGAGATGACACCTGTGCGTCCCCGAGAACCACCCCTCACTCGAACACTGGTCAATGTCCACCTTCTGTAGATTGATGTCGACTTTGACAACACCTCTGAAAATAGAGAAAAACAGCCTTGAACACAGAGACTACAGAAATAGGTTCAACTTCTTTATGATGTTGTAGCCTGCAAAGCGGAGCTACATCTTTCTTCTAAATACAGAATTTGATGAAAAGTCTGAAAACAGAGAAGTGTCATGTTCCCAAAGCCACAACTGCAGAGACACATTCTTACATTAGACCTTACTAACATGTATTACAAAAGCTCAGTAAATCTAATGCACTGTGTAAGTGTAAGGTGGCAGGCAGGAAGTTATACACTCAAACAATTTAATGCCCTTCATATTTTACAATGCAGCAAAGAACTAAAATACAACAAACAACCTGCACTACTTTTTCCGAGACCAGCAACCTCCCCAGCCGACCCCAAGTACGGTACCAGGCACTGCACCTTAACCGCATGCCCGGTGACAATGACATCCTCCCCTTTGCTCCAGGGAATGCTATTTACCAAAACAACTGGCAAAACCCTTTTTGTACTCTCCCCAGAGACACCCCGACCTTCAGTGACTTCAGACCTCTTCTCCTCAGCTCAGCGCCCTCCCCCAGCAGACACCCAAACCCCTCTCTCCCCATCTCAGCCAGCTGGCGCTGGTATAATACCTGATAGAGCAGAAAGGCAGCACGAGCCAGGAGTAGGCTACTGATGTCTGTGAAACAAACAAACAAAAAAATTCCTACATACATAGGTCCTCAAGGACTGTCTAAACTGTATTAGTTCCATGCCAAGAATGCTCAACTTTTCATCATCAGTAGTTTCCCTCAATTTTTTTTTTAACTGAAAAGCTAACAACTCAATTTCAAAGCCAACGCTTTGTTTTATAAACAACTCTGAAATCACCAAAAGAAAAAAGGCTGTAAGGCTGTAGTTGCATATCTTAAAAAAAGCCTTCAAAAATTTCCTTATTCTCTCTAAAATAACCTCCAGAATGACTTTGTACATAGAACATTTATAGCATCATCTTGTGAGAGCACATATCTGTAACTGCTTCACTGCTGTCTGGACTTAGCAAAAATATCAGTATGCAACTTTGGATAGTTAGATCATTACACGGACTCACTCATAACAGACGAGTGCCCTGTAGTGGTTTCTTCAATCTAGGGTGCCACTCCTTTTAAGTCAACCATTTCAGCCACAAGTTTTGATTTCCACAGCCTGAACTTCCATGACTACAAACACCATCATTGCTCCTTTCAGGCTGTGGACTACCAAGGGCATGGCCCAAACTCTATCTCAAGAACACCTCACTCTCCTCAAAGCACGTTGCCTCTTTTAATTAAAGCTCAGTATATATTATTATTATAGAGCTACAGAGACATATATCTGAGAGGCCACTTATGAACAAAATCAGAATAGGCATAAGAAAGTAAGCTTGATCAAAACCAGGACAATACTGCTCCCTCATCCCTAGCCCTAGTACAGCAAAGTGCAAAGTGTCCACAACAGCTGTATTTGGACATTCATTTTCAGACATGCTATATAGTCATTGGAGAAACACAAGCACATCATTTAAGTGATCTGAAGAAGAATGCATTAGGAAATTGTGTAGGCTAGCCAGTAGGAAGTTAGATATTATAGGTGCACTTCACCTCCCTCTGTCTCCTGTCTAAAATCTAAATAATCTGATGCTGGGCACACTTAGAAATTACCTAAGATATTTAAGTGCTGGCCCTAGTAAGTTCAATTTGAAATAGCACACACCATGCTTCTAGAATATTCAGAAATATTTTTAGTTTACAGCTTTATGCATTTCCACTCTTGTTTTGAACAACAGCTTCTCCACAGACTGCTAAAACTACACTTCCATTCCAATGAACTGTTTTTTCTGTGTTCCAGGTGACCAACAACCTCAAGGGAAAAACTGCCATACTCTACAGACTAACTCTTCATATGATGTTAGTGGATTATCTTAACCTGATAACAAGGTATCTGTCTCAGATGCTCATAGGAATAGAGGTAACTAATTCCTCATCTGTTCACATGCAGATCCCATCAGGTAGGTTTCTAGTATTTTCTGGACCTGAGCATAAACATTAACATGTGGGCTGGGGACAGGACCTGTTCTGCAAGTGAATAATCTCACCATGGCTGCATACAGGCACGAAGCAGGCAGTAGGACCAGGACCAACACTACTCCTTGCTCTCCTAGTTTATGTTATCCAGGCACCTTGGCAAGGATCACTCAAGCATTAGCATCATTCCGACTACTCTAAAGAAATCAGTTTGTACAGTAGAAAAAACAGTGATGATTCATCCTTATTAGGACTGCAACAGATTCACCTGGGAGACTCTCAAGCACCTTAGGGAAGTAGGTCTTTATTTCCCTTTACACGGAAAGCTTTTCCCTTGTGTACATTTTGTTTTTAACTGATAGGAGAGGAAACTCCTCTTTCCCTCTACAAACACTTCCACAATGATAGAGGTACATATTACAAATTAAGGGTAAACTAATCACTGCTAGGAAAGGAGAAACAACAGTTTGCTGTGTGGTATCATGAGCAGACCCTGTAGAAGCACCGTGTCAGTACAAAGGGATATAAAAATTTTCAAAAGAAAACTTACCTAGAGGTTACTTCTGAGAAAGACAACACATACAAGCCAGAGGAATTACAGACTGAGCACACTGAGCAAGCATGTGAGTATGGCCTTGTACCAGACATGCTGCAATTTGAAGAATTAGTGGCATGTTCTACTGGGCCAAGAGGCAGAAAGCAGGATAACATCCTAACGCTCAGAGCCACATGATGGAAAGAAAGAAAATGTACTTCCAGAATTTCACATCAGAATTGATTAAATAACTTGTATCCTTTGAAAACTCTTCGATACAATTATTTTGTTCAAAATAGATATGAAAAATCATAGATTCATACAACAGCTGTCATTGGAAGAAACCTCTTGTGATCATCCAGTCCAACCACCTGCTCAAAGCAGGCTCAGTTCAGTTGGGTTTTTTAATACCTCCAATAATGGAGACTTCACCACCTCTGGGAAACCTGATCTAGTGTCTGACCACACTCACAGTGTCAAAAAAGGTTTTCTGATGTTTAAATGGAATTTCTTGTATTTCAATTTGTGCCTCTTGTACTTTGTCCTTTCACTGACTACCCCTGAGAAAAATCTGGTTCTGTCTCCTTTACACTTTTCCATCAGGTATTTACACACACGCGTAAGATCCCCCCGGAGCCTCTTCTTCTCCAGGCTGAAAAGTCCCAGCTTGCTCAGCCCTTTTTGTCTGTCAGATGCTCCAATCTTTAATCATCTTTGTGCCCCTTCACTAGGCTCACTCCAGTACATCATGTCTCTTGTACCAAGGACCCCAGAAGTGGACACAGCACTCCTGATGGAGCCCCACCAGGCTGGGTAAAGAGGAAGGATCACCTCCCTCAACCTGTTGGCAATGCTCTTCCTCTCATAGCCCAGGAGGCTGTCAGTCATCTTTGCCGCAAGCACACATTAGTGATTCATGTCAAACTGGTGTCCACCAGGACCCCCTAGGCCTCTTCTGCAAAGCTGCTTTCCAGTCATTAAGCCCCCGGCCTGTACTGGTGCATGGGGTTACTCCCTCACAGGCGCAGCACTTGGCATTTTTGCTGAACTTTACAAGGTTCTTGTTTGCTCATTTCTCTAGCCTGTTTCAGTCCCCCTGAATGGCAACACAACCATCTGGTCTCTCAGCCACTCGTCCCAATTTTCGTCATCTGCGAACTTGCTAAGAGCACACCCTAGCCTATTGTCCAGACCACTAAATGAAAATGTTAAACAGAATTGGCTCCAGCATCAACCCCTGGGGTCTATCAATAGTGTCTGGCCTCCAGCTGGACTCCAGTCATCTATACGCAGAAGGCTACTGGGTTGGTTAAACACTGTTTCCCCTTCATTAACCCACGCTGACCACTCCCAATCACATTCTTCTCCTTAGTGTGTTTCAGAAGTGGTTTTCAGGAAGGTTTGCTCCATCGCCTTTCCAGGGATTGAGGTGAGGCTGATCAGCCTGTAGTTCTTGGAAGACATCAGGTACCTCTGCCTTTTCCATGTCCTCTGTCACAAAGTTCACTGCCCCATTCAGCAGCAGGCCCACATTCTCCTTAGTCCTAGTTTTGCTGCCAGTGTACTTACTTCTTGTTGCCCTTCATGTCCCTCACCAGATTCAGCCCCATATGGGCTCTGGTTTCCCTAACCCCACCCATGCACAGAATCATAGAAACATAGAGTCATTTAGGTTGGAGAAGACCTTTAAGATCATCGAGTCCAACCATTAACCTAATACTGCCAAGTCCACCACTAAACCACGTCCCTAAGCACCATGTCTACACATCTTTTAAGTACCTCCAGGGATGGTGACTCAACCACTTGCCTGGGCAGCCTGTTCCAATGCTTGACAACCCTTTCAGTAAAGAAATATTTTCTAATACCCAATCTAAACCTCCCCTGGCACAACTTGAGGCCATTTCCTCTTGTCCTATCGCTTGTTACTTGGGAGAAGAGACCAACCCCCACCTCGCTACAACCTCCTTTCAGGTAGTTGTAGAGAGCGATAAGGTCTCCCCTCAGCCTCCTTTTCTCCAGACTAAACGACCCCAGGTCCCTCAGCTGCTCCTCATAAGACTTGTGCTCCAGGTCCCTCACCAGCTTCATTGCCCTTCTCTGGACACACTCCAGCACCTCAATGTCTTTCCTGTAGTGAGTGGCCCAAAACCGAACACAGGATTTGAGGTGTGACCAGTACCTAGTACAGGGGAACAGTCACTTCCCTAGTCCTGCTGGCCACACCATTTCTAATACAAGACGCTCGTGTTCACAGCCATGCCCAGACCATGTCTCCGCATTCCTCCCAGGTTATCCAACTCTGCTTCCATCTCTTGTGTACTTTCATTTTATGCTTGAGTTTTGTCAGGAGCTCCCTGTCAAGCCTTGCAGGCCTGAAAATTATCTAATTTCAAAATATTTTCATAGTACTTCTAGAAACACTAGACAATTCTTCCATTCGAAACAA